TGGCTGGGAGATCGACAGGGAGATCGATAGTGAGATAGATTGTGAGATCGATAATTAGTGAGATCGGCAGCGAGGTCTATTAGTGAGATCTATAATGGGATCGAGAGTGAGACTATAGTGAGATCGATCGAATGTGATCGCGATCCTGTGAGGTAGATAGTGGGTCCGATCGAGCGAGATCGAAAATGGGAACGATAGCGACATTCCATTGCAGCGCAACGTCGTCATCACGCGTCATCGCTAACTCGAGGGCGCGTCACCAGCAGCGTCATCATCACACTCATCACAGTTGCCATCAGTTGGTTCTTTCTCCCCCCCACAATCTCCTTATCACCCGAAGGGTGGTCGTATAGGTAAACGATGTTTTTCACACTGACCCATTGTACTCAGACCATGCGCGACTAGCCTAGACCACGCCTTTCAGTGCAAAACCGGTGCATGTAACACGTACAGGCCTTGTATGGCCAGTGCATGTTCAAGCATGAACTGCCGTGGTAACAGCGGGGTACTGGTCACTTGAAGGGGTGGCTGGCAGTGATCAGGGGGGCTGATAGAGACATAGGAGAAAGGCGGAGGACAGAGGGAAGAGGAGAAAGGATCTGAAGGCAAGATCGGAGGAGAACGGAATGAGGAGCAGGATGGGGAAGGAAAAGGAGTGGGGGGTGGGTGGGCGAAAACAATAATAGAAAATGGTTAAAGGGAGGCCGAGGCAGAAATACGTGGAAGCAAAAGCGAATGGCACCTAGACAGAAGCGGAAGAAGGTGGAGGACAGGAGATGACGAAGACAAAAGAAACACGCACTGGGTAAGACTGGAAAGGGCATGACTAAGAGAGCGGGACGAGAACAAAGAGGTGCTGGAGGAAAAAGCAGATGAGGGTAGAGGAAACTGACAGGCCCGAGGATGGGGGCACCTGTGGACGTGACGCCGACCACACGGGAGGTACTTCTCTAAATCGTGGAGGAACTGCTTCCCCCAAGCTCGAACGAAACGGCGTCGCAGACCCCCCTTCCCTCGATAAGAGGGCCGGCGGTGCAGATTCAAGGGTACGTCGCTCGTTCACCCCAGCTCGTGGATGCCACCGCCCCTGCCCAAGTTCGCCCAGGGCCCAGGATGATTGCGCATGCTCGCCTGGTCAAGCCAGGAGGTCGACCACACCGATCGTGGGCCCGAGGTGAGCCTGGCCAGGATCGGCATCTAATTATGCATAGTTGGCGCCGTCCACCGCGCGCGCGCGGGCCCCAAGGATGGAAAAGGAGGAGATGAGGACGGAGGAGGAAGGACGACGCGTGTCTGCGACGGGTGGGGTAGGCGCGATACGTGCTCCAGCTTGGCTTGCTGGCGTCGGGACGTCTACAGACTAGCTGCACAAGAGACTCAGGAGCCGATTTGGGGCGACCCAACAAGAGAGCGGGGAGACGCATGGCCCCTTGCTTGCTAGTCAGGCTTGGGCACGAGACTCAGGAGCCGATTTGGGGCGACCCAACAAGAGAGCGGGGAGACGCATGGCCCCTTGCTTGCTAGTCAGGCTTGGGCACGCCGAGAGGCTGCGCTGAGACTGAAAGCACAGCGCCCGGCCAGGCCGACGCACGGAAGTTGCAAGACGCAGCGACGAGCGGGCAAAAGGCAAGAGGCGGAATGCAAAAAAGGAAAGCGGAGGTAGGAAGATCGCGCGGCGAACGCCCGGAAGGAGCAGTGCGCGCGAAGCCGCGAAGGAGTGGAAACGCCGACCAGGAGCGGACATGTGGCTGCGCGCGGAGAAGCCAGGGCGGCGCTGGCGCAGCGGCGGGCGCCGAACAAGAGAGGCCAGCAATGAGACAATACCCGTGCGCAGGCACGGCAGGCAAGACCTGGGCGAACGAGCGCACCGCACTTTGTACTCTCCTCCTCCTCCTCCTCCCTCCCTCCTCCTGCTCCTCCTCCTCCTCCTCCTCCTCCTCCTGCTCCTCCTCCTCCTCCTCCTCCTCCTCCTCCTCCTCCTCCTCCTCTCTCCTCCTCCTCACAACTCCTTCATCCCTCCTCCCTCCTCCCTCCTCCCTCCTCCACTGCACCTCCTGCTCCTCCTGCCTCCTCCTGCTCCTCCTGCTCCTCCCCTGCCTCTCCCTCCTGCTCCTGCTCCACTCCTCTGCAGCTCCTTCTGCTCCTCCTCCTCCTCCTCCTCCTCCTCCTCCTCCTCCTCCTCCTCCTCCTCCTCCTCCTCCTCCTCCTCCTCCCTCCTCCCTCCTCCTCCTCCCTCCACCTCCCTCCTCCCTCCTCCCTGCTCCTCCCTCCTCCTCCTCCTCCTCCTCCTCCTCCTCCTCCTCCTCCTCCTCCTCCTCCTCCTCCTCCTCCTCCTCCTCCCGCCCAGAGGGGGGGGAGGCAGGAAAAGCTCGCCCGCACCCAGGCGCAGGGCGCAGGAACGGGGGCGACCCCCGACGAGGAGGCCAGGCGGGCGCGCTGAGCGCGGGCAGCTCGGGCAGCTCGGGAGGAGGCAGGGCGGAGGCGGCCCACGCCAAGACACTGCACGGCGTGCAGTGCAAGGAGTGCGCGCCAGGAAACGTCTGGCGCGGCGGGGCTGGCCAGGGCAGGGCAGCAGACAAAGCCGCGAGCCACCGAGCAGGCAGAAGCGCGAAGCGGGGGCGAGCCACAGCAAGGACAGGGCGGGCGACGACGACACGACCGGCCGGATGCTGGGAGGCTCGCGAGGCACAGTGGAGGCTGCGGAGCAGCAGGGGCAGCCGGGAAAGCCAGGGAGCGGCGGGTGAGCCAATCTGACCAAATCGCTCGTCGCCAGGCGCCGCGGGGCTGGATCCGGCACGCGCGACGAACGGACACTTCCGAAACCCGGCGCAAACGACGGCCACGCCCACATGCCGTCCCACGGATGGCAGCTGCAGTGGGCGCCCCGCGGGTGGCTGTCGAGAGGGCGGCACGAGGCGCAGCGGTAAGACCCTGCGCTGCTGCGGGAGGCGGGCCACGTGAAGGCCCCTGACGCGTCCTGCAGCGCGGCGGGCCGCCTGGCACAACATCGGATTCGCTCCATGGGCTAGCAGCTGGGAGGCCGAGGCAGAAACCGTATCCGCATGCTGCTTGCCCGAGGGGGGCGCGCGACTGGCGAGACTGATCCCGCCGCCAATCTCCATGGCCTCTGCAGAGCACTTGCCAAGCCCGGTCGCAGAACGGCAGGTTTCAAGTCACCTCTGGGCATGCAAAGGGGCAAAGAGAGTAGCTGGTCTTCAGCAGGGGCCGACCCAGCATCCGCTGGGCGATCGTGCTCCTGTGAAGAACTATGCCTTTCGGCATCTCCTGGACGTCGAGTAGGACTCAGGGGCGGCCAAGGCGAGGGAGAGCCGCGGTGGTGCGCACGGGACCCTGCCGACCTGCACTGCAGAGCAAGGCCACCAATAGTCCCGCGGGGAGTCCTGGAGCGGGATGGGGAGGGGCCCCGTCGAGGCAGGCGCGAAAAAACTTGGTGGTGAGCGAGGGGGGGAACGATGGGGAGAAGGCCTTCTCAGAAGGCGGCGGGACCTCCCAGGGGGGAGGTCAGAAAACGTCTCAGAAGGCCTCTGGACTTCCAAGCCTTCTGAGAAGGACCGCCCCCTTCTCACTCCCCCCCACGCTCGCCTTCGAAAAGCAGGGTGCTGATCGGCAGCACGCCCGGCATGAGGTACGCTGGATGACCTTTCATTCCATGCGGCGGACGCGAGATGGCAGCTATTGGTGGCAGGTGCGGGCGTGACTAATCGAAGCCAGTGCCCAAGGGTGGGAGGGGTCCGAGCAAACCTGTCACTGGACGCAGAAGCAGGAAGAGCAGGGGCGTCGGACAGCTCGGCGGGCTTCACATCACAAGCAGCGCGCGCAGCACGATCACCTTGAACTTCGCCTGCGCGGCTACAGTAGGCACTGCGTGGCTGAGGGCGAGAGGCTGATGTGGCTGGCGGTGATGGAACAGGAGCCCAAGACCAACGATGGAGACGGCGTTGGCCAGCAGGAGCCTCATTGTGAAGTGGAGCTGGATCAAGGGCAGCAGGAGACTGCGGACACGGCGCCGATTGGCCCACGAAGACGCTGAAGGGGACGCTCGGGAACGTAGCCTTCTGCGCGCAGCCGAGAGCCTGAACTAAGCTGCCGATGGCGACGACCAGGGAGGAGGCGGCGATGGTGGTCCAGGCGACGGCGGCGCTGGTGGCCCAGCGGGCGGTGGCGCATGTGGCCTGGGGGGGCACGCCGTGAAGATGCGGCTCTGCCCGAGCCCAGAGCAGCCCCGCGGGCATCCAGGCGTGGGATGTCCACGGCAGGGGCGGCCCTGGCAGCAGCGGCGGCCCTGGCGGAGGCCAGCCGACACGGGCGGCAGCCGCGGCGGGGGCCGCCTCCGCGGACGGAGACGGCCCCGGCTGGGGTGGCCCAGACGTGGCTCGCAACGAAAGGACCCCTAACCCCTCGGGAGGGTACCTCGGAGTGCCAGAAACATTCGGGATAGGGGGGCACTTTCTGCAGATGTAGCGACCCTAGCCGCCCAGATGTGTTAGCCTGAGTGCACAGACGGGGGCGGGCCTTAGTGAGGTCACGCCTTCACTGTGTTATCAGAGTTAAGGGTTCTTCTGTTCTCGATGAAGAAGCACTTCGGGTGGCACCAGCGAGCGGCGCCAGGGTCTACAGGGCGGCAGCGGAGGCAGCGCCGGCGGCGGGGGTGTCCAGTCGCGACCGCCGTCGCGAACCGGCGGCCACTTGGACGAGGCGCCGCGCACGGGCCCGAGCCCGATACCAGAACGAGCTGCCGCGCACGGGCCCGAGCCGCAGGCGTATACGCCTGCGGCTCGGGCCTCGAGGGCCTGGAGGGACGACGCAGGGGGAAGGAGGGAGGGAGGAGGGAGGAGGAGAGAACGCAGGGGCAGGGAGGAGGAGGGAGGAGGAGGGAGGAGGGAGGGAGGGAGGCAGGGAGGGAGGGAGGGAGAGAGGAAGCGCAGCGCGTGGGGAGGGAGGGAGGGCGCGGGAGGCCGCGGCGGCGCCGAGGCCCCCGCAGCTCCACGGGCTGCCGCTGCCTGCCCGCGCGCCCGGGCGGCCGCAGGCGCACCGTGAGCTGGGCGAGCAGCGGCTCCAGCGGCCACGCGCCCGCCGGCGCGCCGGCCTGCCGCGCGGAGGGGGCCCGGCCCTGCGGCGGCCCCAGGGCAGCGTCGGGGGGGGCTGGCTTTAGGTCGGGCCTGTCCCCCTACAGGGGGATTTGGACAAAGAATCCAAGATTTTTTGATTCTTTCTCTAAAACAATATCCAAAAACAATATCCGATTTGTTTATCCAAAGATACCCCCAAACAATCTCCAAACATAGTCAACAAGAATGGTCAAAAAAAATCATTCCCGGGCTATGTTTGGACTAGTGTTGAAGATTCCCCCTGTAGAGGTACAGGCCCGACGTAAGGCTGGCTCGGAGGGGGGCTCGAGGCTCTCAAGGTTCCTGTCGGACACTCTCGTGGGCTCTTGGCGGGTTCTTTTTATGCCCAGGGGTGCTCTCTCCAGCAGCAGTGGGCTGGCTCCTGGGGGGAGCGGCTCGAGTCTCAAGGTTTTCGGACGTTTTCGTCGGCCCCTGGCGGGTTTCAAGCCTCGGGGTGCTCTCCAGCACCTGCGCCTCGCGCGAGAGCGTTCTGGGGGTGCCCAGATCCTTCTGAACGGCCGCGGAAACCATAGATATAGCCCGAAAGCCACCAGGGAGCGCGGCCAGTGCCTTCGGCCAGGAGAGGATATGTCGAGAAGGCTATCGACCCTCTCGGAGCGTTCTGGCCACTGCTGGGGCGCAGGGGGCCTCTCTCTGGAGACCCCCGGAGGGGCCCGACCTCTGGCGGCACAGAAGCCCGCGTGACCTTTTCCACAGCAATCGGCGTCTGGAGACCATTTCTGGGCACTGGGACTGTCTACAAAAGATTCAAGTGTTCTTCTGGACGGGGTCGAGAGAACGCTGGAGCCCGCGCACTGCAACAGAACAAGACGTCGGAGGTCTGCGAGCTACAAGCAACATGCACAGGACGGATACATGGTCACGTGAACGATGCGTGCAGGACCCTTGGGACGTCCCCGCTGAGGGCCCCTGCAGAGCACTGCGCTCTTGCGGTGGATTTCTAGTATGGTCCCGCGCGCCCTCCTAGACGTCCTGCTACGGTAGAGGGAAGCAATTACTGAACACCCCCCCTCCCCCCAAAACTCAGTGTTGGCACGCGCGGGGGAGACTGCGGTCGAAGTGCATCTCATCAGACCCACCGCCAACTTTGAACATCGGGGGGAGGGGGGGGCGTTGATGGATGAATGTGGCATGTGCTCGCTAATTTGTTCCGAGGCCTGCTACTACTCCTCCTCATCATCCTCCTCCTCCTCCTGCTCGGCACCGCGTGGCCCCGCGGCCGTTGCCCTGCGGCGGGCGCCCGCCTCGCGACATATAACCCCCAGCCCCCAGCTCTGCCTGGCGCGCCGCTGCCGCTGCCCAGGCGCGTGGCCTACAGTCGGGGCGTTGACCTAAGGAACCCTAAATAAGGAACGAGGCCCCTTTTTTTTCAATAAGTTAAACTTCGATTCCCCATCGAAAACCTAAGGACAACCTAAGGCAAACTGCGAAACAATTAAGGAACACGGAGCACCTCCCCAACGAAAAGGGTTCCTTGTTTAGCGCCCCGACTGTAGCTCCGCTGGAGCTCACGGGAGGACGGCATTGCCGTCGTCCTGGCAGGGCTGGGCAGCGGGCAGTCTCGCCTGCTGGCGTGCCGCCCTGGAGCCTCGTCGCGACTCGCTCTCCGTCGCGGTCACCTGCGTGGCATCGGAGACCGAGAAGGCGTCGTTCGTCCGCCCGTCGCCTACTGAGAGGAGAGCGGGCACGAGTTCGGCTCGTGGTGCATCACCGATCGAAGCTGCCCATGGGGAAGGGCGGCAAGAGACGCAATGAGGAGACCAGCGACAAGGGTCGCTGGCCTTGGTTGGCTACTCGCTGATGCGGCCTCACACGGAACTGCCCATCGAACGAGCGGTGCTGCATGTGCGGCAGGGGTCGGCAAGGCCACCCAGACCCCACATGAGGCGACACCACTGACGGCTGCGTCGGCCCAGGCCCTGGTCTGCCTCACGGCCTGCCCAACGCGACTGAAGAGAGCCGGCAGCCGCTGACAAGGCTGATCACGTTGCCCGTGCGAGGAAGGCGTTGGCCGCCCTCCGACGCGTACACTACGTTCATTTCTAATCGTGCTCATTTCTAAGTGTGCTCGTTTCCAATTGTTCCTGGCCCCCTGGTGGCCAGGAAGAGGCCCAGGATATAACAATTAGAAATGGCAGGACCTTGGCCCCCAGAAAGTCCAAGAACTTCCGAAGAATTAGACATGAACGATGTGCACAGCTTGGCGACGACAACGAGCTCGCCATCAGTGCTGGGAGGCAACCTGCAGCTGCAGAAGAGGAGGAGCGTGCGCGCCACGCGCCAGACGGCATGCTCTGGAGGGCCGTGGGCCGCCGGACTACGGAGCAGAAGGAACATGATGTGTTGGAGAGCCTCCTCCTCCTCCTCCTCCTCCTCTCCTCCTCCTCCTCCTCCTCCTCCTCCTCCTCCTCCTCCTCCTCCTCCTCCTGTTCCCAGCATGCAGGAGGAGCTGGCGTCCAAGAGGAACGAGCTGCAGGCTGCCACGGTGGAGCTGGACGCCGTCCGCCGACGCCGTCCGCCTGGAGGCGGCCACGGCGTGCGCCGCCGTCACGGCGGCGGACGGCGGCCCTGCTACGACTGGCAGCCTCGATGAAGCCTTCGGCAGGCTTCAAGGTGCGGTCGCGGCGGCCCCTGCAGCCATCCTCGCGGGGAGCACGAATACGGCGCTCGAGCCCATCGGGACCGACCTTTGAGCAGGGACCGACCGTCCCGGCATTCCTATAGTCCTACCACGAGGTGCTCTTAGAACCCAAAGATGTTCTAAGAACAAAAACGGTGTCCTTATAACAGAATCCCGATGTGCTAAAACAAGACAGTCCCAGCCAGAAATGTTCTAAGAACACTTCGTGGAAACCGCAGGTCCTTCGAACATTGTTTGGTAGGGCTATAGGCGGGCCGGGACGCTTCGCGACTGCTTGACACCTGGCTGAGCTCAGCCAGGTTGAGCGGCTGGGGAGGGGGGCGAGCGGCGGCGGCGGGGGCCACCCGTGGAGCAGGGAGGCCTGCCCCTTCCCTCACGGAGGAGGAGGAGGAGGGAGGAGGAGGAGGAGGAGGAGGAGGAGGAGGAGGAGGAGGAGGAGGAGGAGCAGGGAATGTGTGCCCGCAGCACGAGATGCAGGAAGCGGTGCACCCATGGTCGGGGACGAAGGTCATCATAGCTAGGACGTTTGCCCGATTCGACTACCGCCGCTGTGGGTTGACGACAGCCGAGCGGGAGTTGAGCACATGCATCATGCGACCGCACCTTCTGGATTCTTCTTCCAGACCTGCGCGGTCCTTTTTTCACGGCGAGCACGGAAGCGATGGAAGACCTGGATTAACTGGGCATGCTTCTGGTGATGACTACGACCATGCCATGTGGCTGCTGGAGGTACAGGTGCGGTTTTGACTTGGAATGAGGTTGGTATGGTATCCATTTCGCCTTGCATTGTGCCACCCACCTCAATGGCGGCTACTGGCTTGCATACGACATCGTTTCTGAAGGAGCGGGTCCGAATACTGACACTTAACGTGAGGCATTGTCGGCTTTGACGGTACGTGATTCACTTAGGAATGATTGTGCGCCTCATGTGTCGCACAGGGCTGGGCCAATGGGCCGCGAGTCCGACGAGCTGCCGTTGTCAGGCAACACGGCCTCGCAACCTGCACCAGTCCCACGAGTGCTCTAGGAGGCCCTGGAGGCGAGCGCGTAAGGCAAGGAGTCAGGAAAGGCTTACGAGCTGCAACTTTCGGCAGCAGTGGTTGACCCCAGCTCGAGGACGCTTTTGGACCATGAATGTCGCGGCTAACCCATTGCTTTTGCTCAGGAGCTCAACCTCCGTTGTGATGACTGTGCTCGTGCACAGCAGTGGGCTGTTAAGCACGGGTCTCTGGTGGGAAACGGGGACTATTACACAATATTCGCGTCTCCGAAGCCATAAACCTTCGCAAAGTACGCAAAATTCGCGTTCCCGAGGCCACGATTCCCAGTACATTGCGCAATGTTTGCGCCCCTGACGCCATACATACTCGTAAGTTACGTAATGTTCGCGTTCCCGAGGCCACAACCCTTTGTACATTACGTCAGTTCGCGTCCCCGAGGCCATAAACCCTTGTGAAGTGCGCCATATTCGCACCCCCGTGGCCACGAATCCACCTCGCGGAGGCCGCCCAAAAGCGCCACCCCCTCTCTGGCGCAGGAAGCAATCGTTTCTGTATTGAGATATGTGTTCGGGAAGGCGCTTTTTGAAATTTCTGCCGTCTCTTGAAATCTGGCCGCGGGCCCCAAGTCCCCGAAGCCCCCGAGAGGCCATAAACCCATGTAAAGTATACAAAATTGGTGTACCCGAAACCATGGCCCCTAGTACAATACGCTATATTCGCGTTCTCGAAGCCATAAATTTCGTAACTTACACAAGAAGCGCGCCCTCGAGGCCACAACACTTTGTAAATTGCGCAATGGCTGAGTTTCCGAAACCATAAATCCACCATTCGCATCTTCATAAAAAAAAACCATAAACCTGCACACGCTACCCAAATTCGCATCCCCGAAGCCATAAACTATTACGCAATGGTTGCGTCCCCGAAGCCATAAACCATGGTAGCGTATGTCATCATTGCGTATCCACAAGCCTTCGTAGATTATGCAATACTCGCCCCCTGAGGCCACACACCTTCGTAGATTACACCATTCTCGCGTCCCCGAAGCCATAATCCCTGGTCATATGTGCCTGCACGAATGCGTAATTCTCGCGCTTGCACTCCGCAGCGAATTCCACACCGAATTCAGCAATATCATCAGAATCTCAATTCGTCTTGCCGATTACTCATCGTCTTCGCGTGAAGTCCCGACGCTGCTTCACGGCGGCGCCAAGGCCTCATGATTTCGCTCTTGCATTGCCCATGATCCGAGAGAGGGGGCCGGCGGCAGAGGGCGAAGCCCTTGCGGATCTGGTGGCCCACGCCATGGTATCCACCCTCCCCCCTAATCTTGTAAATGCCACAACAATGGACACTCTAACAATCCTATCATTGCCTTAAACATGTGTCCAACATGTGTGCAACATGTTCTAAGAATGGCTCACTCATGCTTACACACTGTTAAAGGCATGTTTGAAACATGTTCTAGACATCTGGAAATTACTGGGCAGCACGCCTCCTCTCCATTCCTCGACCTCCACAACCCTAACCCTCACCCCCATTCTGGCCCGCCCCCGCGAGGGGAAGCGGCAGGGCACGGCGCGCGGGGGGCCGTGGCCTCCCGCAGGCCGCAGGCGAGCTCCAGCAGCTCGGCCACGTCCAGCGCCGCGAGCTCCCCGGCCCAGAACTCCTCGCCGCCGCAGCGCCGGGCCCCGCCACCAGGCACGCTCCCCCTCCTCCTCCTCCTCCTCCTCCTCCTCCTCCTCCTCCTCCTCCACCTCCTCCTGCTCCTCCTCCTCCTCCTGCTCCTCCTCCTCCTCCTGCTCCTCCTCCTCTGCCTCGATCTGGGGCGGCACACCACCCCCAGGGACGCGGATGTTGAAACTCAGATCGGCGGGCGCCCGCAGGTGCCTCGAGGCCCCGAGGACGTGGAGAGGCAGACCGGGAGGAAGGGCCGGCCCCTCCCTGGGAGGCGGCTGAGGAGGCTGCAGGGGCCGCGCACGAAGCAAGGCACGACGCGGAAGGTCACGGGACTTGGGGGCCACAGGCCCAGACCCCCTAACGTCGGCTTTTGTTCAGGAAATAGACCCCCAGAAGTGCTTGGACCCGTCCTCCTCCTCCTCCTCCTCCTCCTCCTCCTCCTCCTCCTCCTCCTCCTCATTCATTCACTCACTCACTCATTCATTCATTCATTCATTCATTCATTCATTCATTCATGGGCCTTAGGAGGTCAGCCAAACGAAGCTCGCCTGACCTCACCGCAAAACAGACGAGCGGGGCCTCGGCCTCTCCTGGGCCAAGGCCCCGCACCCACGATGCCCAGAGCCCTGGGGCATTGCAGAGGGCTCTTGAGGGCTCGAGGGGTAATCCGCAGGCCGTATCCCCGAAGGGCGCCCCACCCCCGCCCAGCGATCCCCCAGGGGCCCAGCAGAGACGGGCGACGGGAGGGGTGCGGGCGGGGGGGGGCACGGCCAAAGCTGAAATGCACGAAGAGGCACGAGGCCTCCTCCTCTACAAAAACAAAACAAAGCCTTCGACCACCCACACAAGGACGACGCGGCCTGCCACCCCAGGTGCAGGCAGCGCCTGGACGGTGGCAGGCCACGCCCCAGATGTGGGGTAAGCACACGGATGCCTGCCCTGAGGGTCAGTCGCATCGGGCCGTGCGCGATAGGCAGAAACAATCCACGATGCCCAGAGCCCTGGGGCATCGCAGAGGGCTCCTGAGGGCTCGAGGGGTAATCCGCTGGCCGTATCCCCGAAGGGCGCCCCACCCCCGCCCAGCGATCCCCCAGGGGCCCAACAGAGACGGGCGACGGGAGGGGTGCGGGCGGGGGGGGCACGGCCTAAAGCTGAAATGCACGAAGAGGCTCGAGGCCTCCTCCTCCACAAATCCAAAACAATGCCTTCGACCACCCACACAAGGACGACGCGAACTGCCACCCCAGGTGCAGGCAGCGCCTGGACGGTGGCAGGCCGCGCCCCAGATGTGGGGTAAGCACACGGATGCCTGCCCTGAGGGTCAGTCGCATCGGGCCGTGCGCGATAGGCAGAAACAAATTAACACGCACACTCGCTGACTGCTCTGGGCAAAATTTAAATTGAGGCACCCCGCATCTCGCCTGTCTGGTCATGCCACCACGCAGCTGGACTGTGGAGGACGCGCCAGGGGCGGCACAAGCGGGTGCCTTTTGGCCACGGGAGTCGCCCGCGGCGGACATCGCGAACCTGGGCTATTTTCTTGTGTCCACAGGGGCCGAGGAGATGCCTGGGAGTCCTGGTGCAATAGGAACCGCACCTGGAGCAATACAACACAGGAGTGCCCGAGCTTTCAATTTTTGCGGCCCAGAGTTTGTGCCCTGGTGCTGGCAGGTCTTTACCGCTAACCAGGGCCCCAAAACTGGGTGGGAAGGCAGCACATTTGGAGTCTCTCGATGGCGGGGCTTTGAAGCTCTTGGCGCAAGCCAGACACTGCCAGAGACGACCATTCCACAGGACATTATGCTGCCTTATGTTTTGGGGGGGGTGGCCTTAAACTCTTCGACTCTTTATATAGGGTACCGTGCATCTCGCGGGCCGTCGGCCAAAGCTCAAGGATTGAAACGGCAGCCTTGAGCACGGCGAACCAGCCATCTAAGGAATCTGTTACTGCATCGGCGTCCTGAGGGCTGGCGACTTTTCTGGCGGCCTCACGACACAGAACATCTGCCCAACCATTGCCCAAAACAACAAGTTGCTGCGCCCATTCACGATCTCCTCGTAAAAGTGATTGGTGAGCCTTTACCTTATGTATAGTAAACTGCTTATCTAACTTCTGAATCGCGCGCCAGTGCCCCGCCTGTTGGGACGTGCCATCTAGGGCACGGAACGAAAAGGCACATCCCGTCAGCAGGGCCTGGCAGTCGGCATACAAGTCTGCTTCTTCATCGAATCTTGCTGGGTCCTGCCAGAGGTGTCGGAGTCCCTGGAGAAGGCCATGGTGTTCAGCCCAGGTCGCACTTTGGGGGAAACGCTTCGGCAGTGGACCCCTAACAGCGCGCTTCAGGTCGCCTCCAGCAGTCATTTCCACAGCCGCCCAGCCCTCCTCCTCCTCCTCCTCCTCCTCCTCCTCCTCCTCCTCCTCCTCCTCCTCCTCCTCCTCCTCCTCCCCCTCCTCCTCGTCCTCCTCCTCCTCCTCTCCTCCTCCTCCTCCTCCTCCTCCTGTCCTCCTCCTCCTCCTTCTCCTCCTCCTCCTCCTCCTCCTCTGCCTCGATCTGGGGCGGCACACCACCCCCAGGGACGCGGATGTTGAAACTCAGATCGGCGGGCGCCCGCAGGTGCCTCGAGGCCCCGAGGACGTGGAGAGGCAGACCGCGAGGAAGGACTGGGCCCCTCCCTGGGAGGCGGCCGAGGAGGCTGCAGGGGCCGCGCACGAAGCAAGACACGACGCGGAAGGTCACGGGACTTGGGGGCCACAGGCCCAGACCCCCAACGTCGACTTTGTTTAAGAAATAGACCCCCAGAAGTGTTTGGACCCGTCCTCCTCCTCCTCCTCCTCCTCCTCCTCCTCCTCCTCCTCCTCCTCCTCCTCCCCCTCCCCCTTCTCCTCCTCCTCCTCCTCCTCCTCCTCCTCCTCCTCCTCCTCCTCCCCCTCCTCCTCCTCCTCCTCCCCCTCCTCCACTGCGGGGGCCAGGTCTTCATCCTGAGCCGCGTCTGGACGGTCCCGAGGCCCGCCCCGGGGAGGGCCCCCCAGCGGCCGACAGAAGGGCGAAACCCTCCGTCGCGATGCTCGCACACCTCCCGGGGGTCCGGGGATCGGGAGATGAGAAGCATGCACAGCGCGAGCGCCGGTTTTGGGGGAAAATCCCTGTTGCGAAACCGTCGGTCTTTATTATTTAAATAGTTCTCGGGAACGCTCGATAATGAAATCCCTGCGGAGCCTCAGGTTTCTGAAGGATTCTGGCCTGCGTGCGTGACGATGCGCGCGTGCGCACCCCATCTCATTGTTTGCAGGGGACCCTTGCGACAGCACGCGCGCAAGGGCGTTCGAATGGTTTCGACATGTGCGCGCGAGAGGCACATTTCGCACATGTGATGAACTTGCTGTTTGAAATGTATGGCTTTCATAAGAATTCGCAAGAGTGCGCGCGCATGCAACTTTGAAACATCCTGTTACGACGCTATGTGTTTGTCATGTGTTTTCGGGACTCGGTTTTGCACTCCCTGCGGAACCTGCGAGTGGCTTTGAAGAATTTCGGAATGCGCGCGCGCGACGACGTGCGCGTATGCACTTCGTCCTACTACTTGCGAGGGGGTATTGGAAACTGATGGTTTTTGATCAACGGGTGCGCGCGCATAGCATTGATTGCAAGGGGTATGGGGGGTAAGCGACTGTCTGGGACGGTGTGCAATCATCAGATGTAAGATGAACGAGTGTGCATAATCATCTACGAAGAACAATACGAAAAAAACTGAAGCGTGAAGTCTGAGGGGAGATCATAATACTCGTTTGACAAGGATAATCTCGGGGTTGTAATATACGTGCTGCATTGTGGTCTGTATGATGGCGCTAGATGTTGCAAACACACAGATTGCTTATTTTGTGTTTGTGGAACTCGATCTTGAAATGCTTACGATACCCAAGGTGTGTGAGGGATTTTGGCAAGCGCGCGCGACGACTCACGCGTGTGGACTTGGTGTTCTCGTTGCTTGATCTAGGGGTTCTGAATATTGGTGACGCTTGGTGAAAGAATGCGCACGCAAATTATTTGACAGGGATGGGGCGGGGGGGCAATACTGGTTGAGCTGGGATGGCACGAAATCGTATTTGACATGAACGATGGGGCTGCATCATGTGTTGTAAATTGCATTGTCCCAAACAGGGGTGTATATCTCATTTTTTTACCATGGAAAATCAGTGGACAGCGACGAGGCCGCGACGGGGCGGCGACGGCGACGACATAGCCGCTGGACCAACACGCAGGCCCTTACGACTGGCGGCGACGAGGCGGCGATGAGGCGGCGACAGCGGCGACATAGCCGCTGGACCAACACGCGGGCCCAGACGACTGGCGGCGGCGAGGCTGCCACGGGGCGGCGACGGCGGCGAAGACAAGCAAGAACCCCTCAAGACAAGCACTGTTTGAGGAAAAGCGGCATGAGGATGGGTGGTGGCGCTCTGGAGCGGCCTCCCCTGCGGCAAGACCAGCGGGGTGGACATTTGCAAACCAGGACATGCGCAGCTGACTTCTTCTTCCTCCACCAACTTACACGTCGTTCATTTCTAATCGTGCTCATGTCTAAGTGTGCTCGTTTCTAATTGTTCCTGGCCCCCTAGTGGCCAGGCAGAGGCCCAGGTAGAGCAAGTAGAAATGAGAGGATCTGGGGCCCCCAAAAAATCAAGGAATGTTCGAAGACTTAGAAATGAACGATGTGTATACGGCACCAGAACCAGGATAAGATAAAACTGTGGACAGGGCTCTCTGACATCCCGCGGCTCTGGAGGTCGCACGGGGCCCCCGCGGCCCTCCCGAGGCCCTGCGGAACGCTCTGCGAGGCATTGGCACCCGCTGGAGCGCCTGTTGCCCCGGCCCTGGACCCGCTGGACCAGTGCCACGGATGCTGCAGCAGCAGATTGAAGGGGCCCCAGGACACTCAAACAAATACGCACGAATAAAAGATTCCCCGTATGTTCCCTAGTTTCTGGGTTTC